AAAATCTATTTTTTCATGTGTTACTGATTTAAACTTTTTCTAAAATGTTGATATAACCTAGATTTTTAGGAGTTTTTTCGAATGAGTTATTAAAAAATATAGAGTCCAGTGCAAAATTTGAGGGTTTTGCCCTGTTGAAGCTCAAAACGCGTATGGTTCTTCAATAAAATCTTGTAGATTTTTCAGCGGTTTTTGAGCGCGCGCTCATCGTGGGCTCAATTCGAACGTTCAAAAGTAGGCAGCCACCTTAAGCAACAAATTGGTACATCTAGAAAATAGGTAGATATAATAAGTGTAATATTAAAATTTCAAATACTCAAATATTATCTGTAGTTAGACATTTTTTTCATAACTTGGTGGAATAAATTTTGTTTTCAGGCCAGAAATTGCGAGAGAAAAAAAAAGCCTTAAGACGCTTTTACAATCACATACTCGATCATGTATTTCTAGGATATCGTACACCAGGAGCCACTGGGAGTAGCATCCTCGTCATCACCATCATGTTCATCTTCATAACTATTATGTACATCGTTATCATCATCATCATCATCACTGTCTTCGGTATCGCTCACATCTGGTAGGCTGTAACGTCTTACGTGTTTTGCGGTGATAAAACCATCGTCTGATTCCGTTCTGGTAAAAAAAAAAAAAAAAAAAAAAAAAAAAAACCCAAGAGACTTCAACTACATAGCACTAAACACAAAACCTTCAAACCTTAGAATTTTGGCGATACCCTGAAACATCCTCCGGGCTGATCTAAGTCAGGGCCGGGTCAGGGCATAATGATAATGATAATGATTTATGAATTTATATAGCGCCTTTTCTATATGAATATAATCAAAGGCGCTTTACATTGAGAAGTGAATGACAGATTGCTTTTATGCAATTTACAAGCATGAGAGATGGTTAGTATGAAGTGTAGGCATTGAGGGTGATCACTGTCAGGGTTTCTTTACATCCTCAGTGGTTCTTTTACGTCTCTCCTATGATGGTTAGTAATGATGAGTGTGGAGAGACGGGACCACCATTTAAAGTGGTCATCCGAGCCACTTGAAAGTCTAACCATTTGCAGATGTAATTACAAAGGCAGCACTTTCTCCTCAGTTATTTTAAGACCCTGAGTGTTGGTCCGGCCGGAACTCGAACCACGACCTCCCGCACGAAAGTCCGATGCTCTTACCAACTGAGCCAACGGGTTTGCGGTTAACACACAAATGTGGCTAACACATGGCTAACACACAAATCAAATTGGAGTTCAGCTCCTTAAGTTTTGCTGGGAAGTAGAAAAAAAAAGCGGAAAACCCGAAGAAAAACCTTTGAATCAAAGTAGAGACAAATTCCATTCACATGTGATACAGAGCCTGCAATTCAAATATCCCTCTCACCTTGTTCTCTTTTTAACTCTGTTCAGTGGTAATTGGTTCCACATTTTCATTTCAGCGCCTCCAGTACAAAGTCTATTGAGGGCCTGCCCTTCTTTATTGACCTGAGCACGTGACATGCACGTGATACAGCTCGTGTTATTGTCGTTTATTGTAGCTAGGTACTGTTCGTCTGGTAGACTGCGAACTTAAACGAATACAAAATTCGAATTAAATTTAATTATTACGAAGGTGGCATGGTCTAAAAAAGATCTAACCAGTATTTAGAAGTTGATTTTTTGCCGAGGGAGGAAACCCCAAGAACCTGGAGAAAAACTAAAGCAAGGAGAGAACCAACAAGCAACTGAGCTCGCATTTAAGGCAGGTACAGAGAATCTGATATCTAATTCGAATGGGTTTTACCTCTGCGCGGTGAACGGAAAGCCTATTAGGTATTCCACCACACTTGCTAAGACAGCCAATAGATTAAATTAGAATCTAAAATTGATTCTTGACGAGGAATGAAAAACCAGAAAAACTGGGGGGAAAACTCGAAGTACAGGAGAGAACCAGCAAACACCGAGCTTGGGTATTTAGCCTAGATCGCAGTGGTCCAATACTTTGAACCCATGAGCACCGTGACAAGAAGATGCAACAGTAAACACTATCCATGCTTTCCTAATAGAAGATAATTGTCATCTCAAGTTATTTATCCCTGAACTGATTTGGATCAGGAAATGTCCCACCTACCATTCATGTATCCATTTCCTTTGTCGATGTTGTACCCAGCGCTGATCAAACACGAGTCTGTTGCCAAAATGGCATTGGTTGAACCAAAATCAGTAGTATGATTACGAAGCTTTCTTAATTTTCCTGTTGAGATACAAGAGTCTGGTTATACAGCAAGATAATGGAGAGTGTGATGGAAGGAAGGAAGCAGGGGAGAGAAGAAAAGAAGGAAGGAGAGAGGAATACAATGATGGAGAGAGGAAGGAAGGGAGGGAGGGAGGAAGGGAGGGAGGGAGGTAGGAAGGGAGTGAGGAAAGGATGGAGGGTTGATGGTTGGAAGGAAGGGAGAGAAAAAAGGAAGGAAGGAGAGAGGAACACTGATGAAGAGAGGAAGGAAGGGAGGGAGGTAGGGAGTGAGGGAAGGATCGAGGGTTGATGGTTGGAAGGAGGGGAGAAAAAAAAGGAAGGAAGGAGAGAGGAATACAATGATGGAGAAGTAGGAATGGAGTGAGGGAAGGATTGAGTGTTTATGGTTGGAAGGAAGGGAGAGAAAAAAGGAAGGAAGGAAAGAGGAATACAATGATGAAGAGAGGAAGGAAGGTAGGGAGTGAGGGAAGGATGGAGAGTTGATGGTTGGAAGGAAGGGAGAGAAAAAAGGAAGGAAGGAGAGAGGAATACAATGATGGAGAAGTAGGAATGGAGTGACTCCGACGAAGGACTAACGTCCGAAACGTCAGTTCCTATTTTCACTACGGTGTATAAATTATCAATCTACGATAACTGTTTCATTAGAAACACCGACGCAGTCCACGCTAGTGTTTACTAGCCATCATCTAGGAATGGAGTGAGGGAAGGATGGAGGGTTGATGGTTGGAAGGAAGGGAGAGAAGAAAGGGAGGCAGGAAAGAGGAAAACAATAATGGGAGCAGGAAGGAAAGAAAGGGTAGAATCTCATTATCTTACCAGAAGCCAGCTCCAGAACCTTAACATTAGCACCATCATCTCCCCAGTAAATAGAATTGCCATTAGTTGCTAGACAACGGATTTCTCTCTTTTTGTATGGTACATCAGAACTTTCTGTACTAAAGACAGGGCTGGAAGATCGGTCTCGAATGTCCCATACTTTGACCACGCCTGTTACAGAACTGCTAACGACACGATTATCGTCTTGAAACTAAACAGAAATAAGTTTAAGGGTTTGGTGATAATTGGGGGGGGGGAAAGGGTTGGAGGGTTATCATGTTGTTTTACCCTCAGTAAATCCCAACATGCTAAATTCCAATCAGTGATACAGTCTTAACAGGCTTTGCCGAGGGAAAAAAACTTGGGAAAAGTCAGTGGAAAATAAGTCTGCTCACATGGAATGTCTATTCGGGAGACCAGATACAGCAGTGGTGAGTGACTGTCCTTACACCACTTTTGTTTCTCATGAAGGATCTCCTTCTTATACCTTTGCGGAGATAGTGACCATGTTGCATTGTGGACTAGCTTTGGGATGCACATATTATGTTCAGTATTCCTCATATGGTGTTGTTTGTAACCAAGCTAGATTATAATGCATCATGTTTATTGAACAGAGAGAGTACTCCTCAATCATCGTTACCTTGATACAAGTCACAATATCCTCATGGCTGATGGTGGATCTGACGTTGTCTCCAGTATTGACATCCCATAATTCAACCTTACCACCCTCTAAAAAAGAACATGTTTGTTAGTCATTTGATGATGGCAACAGCAGCAGCAGCAACAGCAACAACCACAAAGCAGCAGCAGCAACAACAACAGTAACAACAACAGCAACAACCATGAGAGCAGCAGCAACAGGAACAACAACAGGAACAACAACAGCATCAGCAACAGGAACAACTGTAACAACAACAGGAACAACGACAGTAACAACAACAGCAACAACAACAGCAGCAGCAACAGGAACGACAGCAACAACAACAGGAACAACAACAGCAGCAGCAGCAACAGCAGCAGCAACAACAGCACAACAACAGCAACAGCAACAACAACAGTAACAACAACAGCAGCAACAACAGCAGCAACAACAACAGTAACAACAACAGCAACAACAGCAGCAACAACAACAGCTGCAGCAACAACAACTGCAGCAACAACAACAGCTGCAGCAACAACTGCAGCAACAGCAGCAGCAACAACAACTGCAGCAACAGCAGCAGCAACA